TTAGGAAATTTCCAAACAACAGAAAAAGGAGAATTGGAGGTCTGTGCACCATCCTGAGATTTTCATAACCATAGAAGTCATAGAATAAGGTGAGCATGAATATGATTGGTTAAATTAATTCTCCTCCACTCTATGGCATCTAACTGGACTATTATAAATACTAGAGTAGGATCTGGAAATTCACAAAAGCTTATATGGACAACTTTGCTTCTAACTGGCATCTAACTGGACTATTATAAATACTAGAGTAGGATCTGGAAAATTCACAAAAGCTTATATGGACAACTTTGCCTTCATTTGGTTTTATGTCACATCTAAATTCTATAAGCCTATTTTATTCGTTTTCTGGCTATAGAGATAGTGGAGATTCGAGAGCTTGATTTGATAACAATGGGGTTTTAATGATCTTTGCATCAGACTCTTCATGTACAACCCCTTTCTTTCCCTGTTTTAGAATCAGTGTGATTTTAGTACATTATGACAATTTCTTCAGTGTTTTACAAAGCCTGCCTTTATTACTACTTCCAAAGTCCAGTTCTCTGTAATTCTATCCATCCATCCCCATACCTGAAATATGAGTACTGTCAACTTATAGGTCATCAAAATATATAGTCCTATTAAAAATCACTAGTTGTGCAGTGGGAGGTGTAAATGCAGCAACATGGGCAATTTCTGTGTAGAAGGTTAGTAATTCCATTGTAAAATATATTCTTCTTTCACATGCCTTTTACAAATTACGATAACAATTTCTTCCTGCCCTTTGGTGTTGCCTAAGAGGGACAAAGAATTGTTGGGAATCCTGCCGTTACAATCATTTTGTAGCCTTTCCCCCCTCCTTCACTGATAGCAAATCTTCTAAAAAGCATGTGAACCTGAAAGTGAAGGTTTTTCTGAGTAAGAAAAAAAGTGTGGCTAGCTTGAAAAAATATAGTGAAGCTTACTCTCTCAGTTTCTGAGCCTAATCTCATTTATCTTCATTTTCCAAACACCACTTTTCAATTGAGTTAGGAGCAATGTGTTATGTATATTTTTCCTTTTTGATAATCAAAGAAATATTGACCTATTTTGAAAATACTTCTTCCTCTCACTACTTATAGCTTTCATTACTTCATTTGTTGTTATTTTTATGTACAAGAACTATTCAGAAACTTGAGCAGAATGTAATCTTAACTGAAGAGAACTGGATGTGCACCTCCAGTATACCAACTGACCTCAGCTAGCACAGTTAAGGTCTATGCCTGCCTCTTTGTAAGACATTACCCAAGCAGAAGTCAGCTAATGGACCTTAAATTAGTGTGAGTAGTCTGCAAAGCTATGGAATATCATTACATGAATCTACTGTCCTTGAAGTCAGCAGAAAAATACTACATCAGTTTCAGCAGTAAAAAAAAGGTTATAGCCAGGTTATTCTACATCTAGATTTCTTGGTTTCTTTTACCCCTGTAATTGAGCAGTGCTCTGTTCTCCTAGTATAGTTTCGTATACAGGTTTAATATAAAAGTAGGTTTTTAATGAAATTAAAAGACAGATTTCTTGGCGTAGCACCTGCAATATTAAGTTCTACTTGGAGTGTGACTAGGGGTGTACCTGTGAAAATCCTTTGATTTTAGGAAATATAATTGTCTTCCTGTAAAATAATGAAAAAAAAAGGAGGGAAAATGAAAAATAAATGCTTTCTGTGCTGTCAAAATAGCTGTTATGCTAGGCTGGCTAATAATGTAATGTGGATGGATGGTTCTGTAGTGTTTTGACTATTTCTTCATCAATCTGATCAGAGCCCAGGTGACAGCAGCAAGGTCGTACCTTCTAATTCCCCAGTAAATGACCTGTGTCTGTCTGTCTTTAATCAGATATTTCCCTTCATCATTCAGATCACTTGGAAGTTACTGTGGGAAGGCATGTGCACACTCCTTTTGTCTAGTCAGTGCTTCATACAGGGACAACCTGTGTGGGGGAGAAGGGGGTTAAAATCAATTGTCCTGCAGAACATAATCACCTTTCAGTGGAACATCCATTGCAGTGTTCATGCCAAAGCAATAGCGATAGGAACAAACCAGCCTTTTGTACAGGCTTTCTGTTGGTGCCCTTTGCAGAAAAAAAAATGACTGCTGCTGCTTTAAGTCATGGGAGCTCACGTTTGCTGTGACAGCTTTCCAATTGTTAAATAAACTCTGACCATGAGCAGCTGTCAGACAGATATTGCAGACTTCAGTTAAAAGGAGCACCAACCAAGCATTTCAGTGCCTGAAGGCTCCTAGTTAATTTTTCTTTAAAGACTCACAATTAAACAAACAAACCAACAAACAAATAAAAAAATACAATAAGATAATGTGCTTCCTTAACTGAAAAAAAACAAACCCACAACTTCTATTTTATACATTCTATGTCATTTTCCAGTGAAAGTTATAGAACCTGAGTGTGTCCATTTCTGAAAAACAGCCTGTGAGGAACGTGAAATTTCTCAAATGTACACTTTTATCTGGTGGCAAGGTAGGAAACTGAGATGCAGAAATACTGACATTATACTTTATAAATAATACTAATAATATTTAAATTCCTGTGGGAAAGCAAGAGGAATTATACTGAGCTTCCTCAATGTTGTAAAATGTCATTTTATCATTTGTTCTTTTGATAGTAATCTAACACAACCCTTCTGAAGTTATTACTTTTTACCCTCTGAACAACTTGAGATAGTTGAACATGTCCTTGCTCATTGCAGGGCGGGGGTTGGACTGGATGACCTTTAAAGGTCCCTTCCAACCCAAACTATTCTATGATTCCATAATTCTGTGATGATGTTGGACCCTGCTGTACAGGAAAGCAAAAAAAGGACAGTTTTCACCCCAGAAGGCCTAATAAGCTAAGATGAATATGCAAGAAAATAATCTTTTAATGTAAATATACAGTCAGTATTGGAAGAAGCCTTCTTATTTACATTTTAGTTACAGATGGGGAGAGAAATTCCAGTTTAGAAACTGATATTGGCTGAAGATAGAGTGAGTCAGCTCTGGAGATACCTTTTTCCATTGACTGAAGCAGAAGCCTACCTTAATCATAAATTGAAACAAATAAAGCCCACAATAAAACAAAGACTAGTCTCATGACTAACCCCAAAAAGTAAGTTGTGGGTTAACTGTGTGAAGACAGTTTTAGACAATATTTAAGAAGTATTTATTGAAAAATCAATATTTTTGCAAGTTAAAGGAAAAATGACCCATATTTAATTTACAAGTAATAGTACTAATAGGTAATTACTGTTTTTAAGGGTAGCTTCTTTTAAAATTTCAAATTTAGCTAACTAGATAACTAACTAATTGTTTTCAAAATTCCGGATTCCTTTAAGTACAGAGAGGAATATATTCAGTAAAAGTACAGAGCAGTGGGAAATGGAAAAAGTCAATTTAAAAATCAATCCTCCCTGATTTTTTTCTATCGACTCCTCTTAGAAATAACACCCACAATTTTTATAACTGAAATGGATTGTAAAAAAAAAATCTCAGTGTGTTCAATTATTTATTTTATGCTTTTGAAAACACTTTTGGTTAATGGGTTTCACTTTTTCACCTTTCATATACCTCATTCTCTCACACAGAAAAATAGAAACCATTCAAAAATGGAAGATGATAGCATTTTGTTGGTTTTGCTCATGCTTGTGCTTGTGAGTCAATTCTCTTCTCACATGATGGGCTAAAAACCACGGTAAACATAATGCACCATGATTTTAAACGGACTGATTTCTATGCTGAACTAAATGTTTATATAATATAGGGCTTTGTGGAGATTTGAACCAGGAAATTAATTTGTCTCAGTTTTTGGAAAGCATAGTATAGATGGGAAGATTTGGGAGTACTAAAACAATGATGGAATCAGTTGCTGTAGTCAATGAAAATATAGTTTCCATGCATGAAGGACTCATGAGGAAGGATCCTTTATTAAAAGTAGTCAACTTGCAACTCTATAATAGAGATTGTGCTCTTTAAAGATATTGGTATTGGATTAACAGAAAATGTATTAATGGCCATGGAAAGAAGGAGTAAAATAAGTCTTCTATCTTCTTTCTTAGTCTTCCAATTTTTCCATATTGAAGTAAAAATGGAATTTCTCTTTTTCCTGTCTTTCCTTTATTAATGAATAATCCCTTGGGTATTAGATTAAGGCTAGGAAATGGCTAAATATATTTATTTGTTCCAGGTTTCAGAGTAGAAAGCTGGCATAATGACAGGGATAATGTGAGAGATGAGTTGGAGATGGAACTTTCTGGCTAGGCAAGCTACACAACCTTCTTCTGAACACGGACCTAACTGGAATAAACGTGTACCATGGCTCCTTCCCTGCTACAGAACATGGCATGGCACAGAAACTGTGTTGGATCCAATGCTTTTCCAGAGAGTTGGGTTTGCTGGGTACAGACAGTAGAGGATGCACAGCAGCAAATCACCTGTTCCCTGGTGACAGCAGCCAGGAGCAGATGTGCCTTCCCAAAATAAGTCATGCTCACTGCTGCCTGTCTCACTGTTGCTTCCTTCAAGTGTCTGGAGAAGGGCTACAGGCCGAAAAGTTTAGTCAGGTTTCTAAACCTGCTTCCAATTGGCTGCTTTTCTCTGCTTGTGCTGTCTGTTGGGAGAGGGACCTTGAGGCCCTCAGGAGAGGCATTGCTGGGAGCGAGCTGCAGGTCAGGCTGGTTGTCCTGGCAGGCAACATACCAGCTCTGTTGAGGAGATCTTTGCCACAGCTTGGCTACACAGATACGATAGCACGCTTGGTTTCCAGCTGACTTAGCGTGGTGGCCACTGCAGAAAACTGTATCAGAAGATTTGGGTCATCAAGACTGGGTAGAGATCTATTGAAAAAACCCTCAAAGACAAACTTTTTATGTTTTGTTTTCAATTTTATCAACATATTCTGAATTTTTTCCCTTTCCTTGTGCTGTATAATTGCATGTGATTTCCACTTGCCAGTGATCTGATTGGATGTCTCTCTTTTCTTTTTGGTTTCTGTAGGATAAAATCATGGGTAGATAAGATGCAAGAAGATCTCGTAACACTGGCACGAACTGCAAGCGGAGTGGAACAGCTTGCTAAGGTAAGAAGACACACCTCAAACTGTAGTAACTAGGAAGTGAAGTGAAGGACGTGAATCATCTGGGCATTATGATCATTTCATTGCAACATAGTAAAATGATTTTGGGGAATTAAACCCTGCAGTGCTTACTGAGAGAGAAATGAATAACAGACATCCATCTATTCACTTGCTCATAGATAATATTTAATCAGCTCTGCAATATCAGACATAAGGCTTACCATTGTTGCAACACTTCCACCTGAAGCAAGGGCTTTTATGTTCTGTGTTTGTCAAATACGGTATCCAGGAAGCAACCATTCACAGCAGTGGAGAATTCTGCTGTCTATTAACAAGGTAGCCTATTTTTCTGACACATATTTCGTGAAATGGGACAACTTCTGGTTAGAAGAAACATAGATGAGAATGAAAACTACTTTTGTTCACCTCTTTGAATTTAACACAAAGTTTGGTTTAGGGAAGAATTTACAAATCTTTCATTAAGAAGATTTTTTTTGCACTATGTTCTATTTATAGAAGGCAACAACATCTGACACTGCAGAAAAGTATAGTCATAATTCAGAAAATGTAAGGATTACTCTGCCTATACAACTTTGTGTGTATACATCATGATCTAGTACACAGCCATATGACTATACAATTCCCTCTCCGTATCCCTGCACAAGTGCTGTGTCTGCTTCTGTGCTACCAGCTTTAGTGCAGTGACGTTCATGTGGATAAAAACAAAAAACATGTGTGTGAATACTGTAGGTAAGTTTCTTTTTGAAAGCCAGAATTTATAATACACTTCAAGCAAATAATGTTGTCTCAGAGGATATTCACAAGATGGTTGATACGTGTTTGTAATCCTAGGATTTAAAGCATGGAAGGGGAATGTTTCCATGTAAAATATGTCTCTATATCAAAGCCATTTGTTTGACCTAAGTTGCATGATGTCTTTCTCTAGCCACAAGGTTTTAATTAGCTCTCTTGCCTGCAAGGGAGAATGCAAAGCCCTGAGACGTGTGAGCTGTGCAGTCTCTCCCACTTTTCTTTTGTTTACAGGCTGTTGTCACTTTCCCATTTTTTAATGACATCCTTTTTTTTCTGCTCACTGCCTATTAACATTTAGTCAGATCTCTCCTGAAACAAACCCTAATCTTGGAAATACGAAGACTACAATACATGAAAAACATCATGCCTGCATGCTTGTCACTTTTATTCACAGAACTTGCCTTCAGTTGCTCAAGCTTTAAAAATACTTACAGCCAGATTGAATTTTCAGCTTTTTTTCTGATTCATTTCTTCTTCCAACTCTAGAATTGTTTGGGCCAAGCCTATAGTCTTCATATGAACTTAAAAAAAGAAATACATTTGTTCGGCTGTTCTGCCCCTCCTCCCTCCAAAAGCAGAATGATTAATACAAAAAGAAGGAGAAGAGTGCTCCTATTGTAAAATAGTAAACATGAATTTCTGTCAACAGCTGTAATAATCAGATAGACTTTTGGTGGGAGAAATGTCTTTCCTTGTCCTAGGGAAAATTAATTTTAATTTGGCCAAGTGTGAGGTTAAAGCTCTTGGCAAGGACGTGTAACGATTTCACAACCTGGTCAGCCTCTCCCTGGACTCAGGGAAAGAATTCCCACTGATTCAACTGAAGTTACAATCTGTGTCTGCTTCATGCAATTGAGTCTTCTATGAAGATCTCTAAAATGACCAAGATAACTCTCGAAGTAGAACAATTAATACATTTTCAACTGGTGTGAATTCTTCATAAATCAAGCAGGGCTTTTTCAATTAGCTGCTCTGCTATGCAGGTTCATGGTGCTCCCATGACTTATTGGAAGTCTCTTCGGGTTCATCGGTGCTGTTTATGCCTCTATGTGCATTAATGTCTGGGGTCTTTGTGCTGCAGGGAATTATACTACACAATGGTCTCTTCTGGAGAACTGTAAAATATTTTTTTCTGACCATGATGGAGAGGGATAGGAGCACTGCCTGAATTCCCAGTAATTTAATTTTAGACTGAGAGAGCTTTTCACCAGAGACAATGTAAAACTTCCTATGTAATTACAAAGGAATAAAAAAATTAAAATCTGGATGACCATTAAACTTAGGTGAGAGATATGTTAGGTGAATAGCTGCCCTGTTGAGATCAGTACCTATATAAAAGTCTAATTTATTCTGCACTGTGGATATAGATAACCAGGGAAAGCATTATTAGTATTTAAGGTGTTTGCATTCAACATGTACTAAATTTCATGGAATCACGTTTAAGGAGAAGAATCTCCTCAGAAAATAATTCCTTTTTCTTTGATCATTGACAACTTCCTTGCAGTGACTTGGAATCACAGTCTTGTCCTAGTGACTAACCACTCTTTCTCTTGCTTTTGCATTTATAATATAACCATTTTAAGCCATTGCAACTCTCATTAATCACAACTTTTGAAAAGATCTCTATAGCGAGGATACAAAATAATATATTAATGAATATTCCACATAATGCTTAAAAAGAGAAGGAGTTTATTTAGTGAATTACTTCAATGATTCTGTCTCTGAATATATGAATATGCTTATGCCAATAGACATTTTACACACCTTTTCTCTTGTTAGGAGTGATGACAGTAATATAATGCTTATAGTAAGCAAAACTGTAAAAAAAAATTGGATGCCATTAAATTAAATTTATTTAAATGAGGCTAGTAGCCTTAACCAGGTAAAACAGTATATCTAGAGTAGAAGAGACAGACAAAATGGAGGTGCATAGGAGATGGAGAGGCAGGTGAGAGCTGAAGATTATTATGGTGTGCAAAAAAACCATGATCTTTAATTTACAGATGTACTCACTAGTTTATATTTACCATACAGAGAGAATCCTGATCCAGCCAAGAATTGAGCTTTGATTTTCATGTTTCTGTTTAGACCTTTAGCTCCAGAACATTCATGAATTAGTTGTGGTAAATTATTACTTTGGTGATATGAATCAACACTGCTACTAGTAACATCTAACTGTGAGTTCCATGATCGTGTTTAAAGTGTAGTTCCTCCTTATGTCCTTCAAGTCTTATTTATACCATCTGGGAATGGTCTCAAAATAGTCTTCCAAAAATAGTATTAAAGGACATTTTTAAATCCTACTTTTTTGGACATTGCTAGGAGTTTAGGTGAGATCTGGGAGAACTCCAACTTGGACTTAGTACCAATGTAGTATGCCTATTATAGTAATGTGAAGATTGCTTCAACAAGGCAGGAAGTCAGGATTTAAGATGCCAAAATACTCAGCTGGTTGAAAACTGGCAGAGCTCCACTGACTGCAGTGGATTATGCTAATTTACATTTGTGAAGAATCATGCCTAACAATATTTAATTTACAAGTCAAGCAGGTAAAAAGTACTTTGAAAAAAATACAAGCAGATTTTCACACAAGAAACAGAGGCTATATCTTGACAATATTGCTGCTGTAGTTGCTCATTTGACTAGGGCACTGTTGGGTCCTTTCTATGATTTAAATTTTATTTTTTTTCCCATAAGAGCAAAGGAAATGTTTGTAAGGAAGTATTGTATGTATATACATCTTGACACCTAAAAACAGGAAAACAGGATACACAGGAAAATCTTTGAAAAAGAGCTACAAGAGCTTCAGTGTGCTTCTTTAAGTGTCTCTCGCCAAAGCACAGCTTAGTGTATTCCCTCTAGTGTTATAAGTCTGGTGTTTAAAAACAAACAAAACTAAACAAAAACAAAAACAATCTAGGCAGATAACTGTCATTTCAACTTAAAAAGGTTCATGTAACTTTATCTTACTCATGAACTCTCTAAGCAGTCAGGCGTTATGAAGCTGCTCTGGTGTGAATGATACAGGTTTTCTACAGAGCAAATAGACTGTTAGAAAAAAAAGTAAGAAGGAATAGACAGCAGTTTAATAGAATTTTAAAATATATGTAGCAAAATAAATATCAAGGTTGTATCTGATCTGTCTTTTAAAAGACAAAAAATTGTACAAAGGTCAAAGTCACTTTCTTTACCTAAAAACAGATACCTCAGCATACAGGAAAAAAAAAAAAAGAGCTGAATAGCCTACTGAACTACAAAATTAAGTAAATACGCAGTACCATTTTGATGAAAGTGTGCTCAACTTCCATTTTTACATAGATGGTTCACAGCGAAGACTCATGACTAAGCTAATTGACAGCTCTTTTAATCTAATAAACTACAACGAGTATGCTTCTGAATTCCAGCTCCTAAAATACCTCTAGGGACAGGAGAGAGAAGGAAGGGAACCCTGCAGTACCCAGAAAGGAAGACCTCGGAGTAGAGAACATGCCTTATAGCAATGCACGAGCTTGTCTGTTCCAAACTGATTGAAGAGAATCCTCTTTTACAGGAACACTGCATTAAAAAATGTGGGTCTCTGTTAAGAGCTTTGACGTGACAAACACACTGGAGTTTCACTATGGCTGTTACAGCAAAAAAATGCCGTCTTGTGCTGTGTAACCTTTTCAAACAACGGCATAATTGAATGAAGCAGCAGACAGAGAAGCAGTTCCAAGGAACTCTACTCTCTGAATCTGTTTGCTTTTTGATACATGGCTGGAAAAACAATTCATGCATGATGTTCATAAGGCATGCTGTTATTACAGTCCCAGGAGCTGTAGAGTGAACCCATATAGACTGACTTGGCCTTTAAATTATATTTGTACTGAGATAGAAATACTATTTCTTCTTCCAAAATATAAAGAGAACTACATGTGGATATATGATACATACTAATGAGTGCCATTCAAAAAACACATCCACCAGCAACTGTTAGAAGATTTCTATTTATTTTGTCTTTTGAATGTTGTTTTATAATTACTAGCTCTTCCTTACCGAACAACCCAGCCGAGGTTCTGCAGGAGCACATTTCATCCACCGCTCAGTGCAAGGTCTGTGTGCCTGATGCACAGATGGTGCAAGTCTGCTGGAGCACTCACATTGGCAGCAGCTTCCCAGGCCACACTTTTAGCTTTCCAGGTCTTGGATCA